AAGCAGGTGTATTAGAAGCACCAGCTCTCAGGTCAGGTCTAATGACGTGAATGACAGCCACAGAAAGCTTCTGGAGACTGACTGAAAATGAGATGAAAATTCCTTGGCAGGGCTGTTCCATGGGAGCCCAGCGATGGCTCCTGCCTTTTATAATTGCTGGCATTTGCTATGCTAATCCTAAACCACACAAAAGAAGAGGCCCTGCCACGTGGAGCTCAATTGCAATACTACTGTGAAGCCCTGACAAATGAAAACAGCAATGACAAAGGCCCGAGAACAAGAACCTCCGTGACGAGCGTGTGCAAACCTGACCCTCCCGGGGACAGCCACCTCCACTGAGTAACTGGCAGAGCTCACTTGGCCTGGGATAAAGTAATAGCTCAAGAGAGGCCATCTCAGAGTGGACAGAGAGCCAGCAGACGACCAGAGACTGCTCACAGGTGGGAGGCCCACTCACCTGTCATCTCAGAGTGGACAGAGTCAGAGGATCAGAGACTGCTAATAGGCGGCAGGCCCACTCACCACTGGTGGCACAACCTCTCAAAGCCCAGATGTCTCCTTCCACTCAGACAGCCTAGCTTCCCTTTCAGGCTGCCCAGGGCTACCTGAGTGTCTGTGACCATCTGGCAAGGGGAGGCCCTCTGTGGCCCCTACCACCAGACTGTTGTTACCACTATCTGGAGATAAGAAAGCGGTTAAAAGGGCAGTAGCACATTTGGAGTCTTTCCTTCCTTCTCTTTCTCCTACTCTGGTCTTTCCTACCCCCAGGAAGAGACCGGGAAGGGACAGCGAGAACAGCTCAGAGCCACATGTGTGATTAACACAGCCACCAGCACAACCGTCAAGGAGCTGGAGCCACACTTCGGACTCCACTATCATAGCAAATAAACGAACCCACATGGCCAGCAAAGTGAGCTTTTCTCTCCTCACCTTACATGTCTGCTCACAAAGCTGATGTGTCTGTTGTTGGGAGCTCACCCCCAAATCCTCTTTTGGAAGGAGGCTGAGAAGCAAATACATCAAATTATGAGGGGCTACGGGCTTTCTAGCAGGTGGAGTTACTGAACCTGTTCCCTTTCCCATGGCAGTGAAGCCTCCTGATTCTCACGCCAGCCCTGCAGCCAGGCACTGGCTCACTCACCCGCTGACACTCCTTCGTGGGCCGAGTCAGGGTGCCTGGGGAGAATGCACGAAGCCCTGGGCCCAAATCCCAACACCACATACAGGGAACATGGTAGTACACAGGTATAATCACAGCATGCTGGGAGGTGGACATTTAATACCCATCCCCCTCCACCCCCAAAAAGAACAGTGTCTCTTTCAACACCAGAACACACGTAAGTAAGTGTCCATGTCTCCTCGCGTGTAGCCGTGAAGGAGGCTGGCCCTCGTGTGTAGTGGTGCAGGAGGCTGACCCTCAGCAGTCTTTCCGGTAAGAAACAATAGGATAGGTGGGAAAAGACACACCAACCCAGGAAACAGATCACAAGAAGAAACAAAAAGATAGGAAACAAACTGTCACTATTCCACCATCTAGGGAAAGCATGCTGCTCCAGCCAGGCTCTGAGGGTGCTGTGACCTTCTCACAATCAGGAGGTGCCCCAAGGCACCAGACTCCCGGCTTCACAGAGAGGAGGGGGACTGCTTACTCAACAGGCCCTAGGTGTGGACAGCAAGACTGCTCAGAGAGCCAAAACGCTTGAAGACCTGAGTTTGAATCCTGGTGAAGATGTGGCGGGAGCTGACTCCACAACTATCCTTTGGCTTCCAGAACATTCCTCCTCACCACCCACTCAGCCCAGCCCACGTGTAGATGATGATGGTAACAGTGTTTCTAAACAAAGCAAAGAAAGTAATAACATAGTCAATAAACACACAATCTACTACCTCAGGGCCTTTGGCCTCATCTCTCCTCTGTATTCGGAGCCTTTGGCCAGGCTCCTGCTCACTTCTCTCCAGGCTGCTATTTCCCAAGCCTGTGATTACATCGAGTGGTGGGTCCCAGATGAAGAAACCCTAATTCTAGATCTAGCGTCTCCAGGCTCATGCCAGCAGAGAGCCAGGGGAAGAGCAATGCCTGGGGAACAGGACATCCTGACAGGCTGTAGCAAGCCCATTCCCTTCAGAACCATGTGACTATCTATCCCACCTTCCCTAAAATCTTGTCAACCTGCTGGTGACCACTTCCAGGCACACATTCTTGTCACCTCTGCCGAGGAAAATAGGAAACCTCTCCTCAGATGAAGCTCCGTAACAGCATCCAGGAAGTAGGGGCTTGGTCAAAGGTTAGAGAAGGGGGGTCTAGCATAGCCCTGGAGCTGATCCTGCACCCCTAATTAGCCGAGGGCAAAGAGGGTTGGTCTCATAATTCCTTCATGTTCAAGAATGACATCGGGGGAACTACTATAGAGAGCCACGTATGCTCAGATGGGCAGGGCAGTGAGGCAATTCTTTGACTAGTTTGTAAGCAAAGGCATTCCTTTTGTTCTCAATTTTGAAAAACACTTGACTTAAATAATTGGTATAGACTTTACAAAGTCCACTTGCCTCTGGTCCTTCTATATATACCCCCAAACAGGACAGCCATTACAGTTAGCATAGCCTATACCACACTATAGCTACAAAAATCAAGTTATCCAGTGAGAATAACAACAACAAAGAATGAAGTTTAGGTTGAAAGATGAAGCAATTTTAATCCAAAAAAAAGAGGGGGGGGGGCGTAGAATTGGCCAAAGTTGACGTTATGAGCTAATTAGAACACTGTGAAGTCGAAGGACTTTAAAACAAAATAGAGATAGAATTCATGTACCACCAAATTCAAATTATAATCCAATCATTTTAGTATAGATGGCAGGCTGTGTAACCATCACCGTGATTTAATTTTAGAATATTTTTTCCTCCATCCCTAAGGCCCTCACTACTGATAGTCAACCCACACCTCCTTTTCTGTCTAGCCCTAAGCAAACACTCATTTAACTCCTGCCTCTCTGTATCTGTGTATTCTGTACACGTCATTACAGTGCAATTACACAATGCATAGGTGTAAGCCTATCACTTTCTTAGCTTTACGTTTTACCTGTGCTATATCACCTGTATCTCTGTGCCCTTTTTTATCATCTGATAACCTTCCAGTGGGTGGATATACCACATTTAACTTAGCCCATTCCTCAGATGGCAGCCATTCAAGGTATTTCTAAGTTTTAAGTGTTATGAATAACACCAGAAATTTTTATGGGTACTTTGGTTGTGTGTATCTCCCGAGTAGAAGTGCTAACACATAGACTGGGTAGCCTATTTTAAAACTATGAGCAGAGGCAGGAACTGGAGAAGAAGGTTTAACACTTCTCCTCCCTACCTTGGCAATCAACAAACCCTTCCTCCTCTTCCTTGTGTCATCCTCAATACTTGTGTGTGCTCCGAGGTCTGCTATACGACAGCTCTGCAGAGTTGGCTAGAGCATCCAAAGTCCCGACATCACGTCTGCAAGCAGGCATGTGCTACAGCCACCTAACCCTAAAGGTCTCCAGGAAGGCAACAGTGCACTTCCCCTTGGCGTTCTAGTGGCAGAAATGCCTTTACATCCGGGCCACAGAGCATGTATGCACTGGCTGAACAGGCATGGCAGGAGCATGGTTTGGGGCTGCCCTGCACAAGCCCTCTCACTGGCCTAGCCAGGCCCCTACCTAGCCACACACCCTCTGCACTGCCACGCTCTGGAATGTCACTCCCTGAAGTATTTTTCTCTTTTGCTGTGGCAATCTCATCAAATCCACTTTCAGAGTCTGCAGAAGTATCGCACGATTTAACACTAAGAATTTTTGGTTGTTGACATTCCTGCAACAGCCCGGACTTTCTTTTTCCTCCTCACTCCCTCTGAGAGAAGCATATATAAAATGAGTAATTGCTACACCAAGGAATTGCTGGAGTCAGCAAGGCCTCACAGCAGCTGTATTTCCGACCCCCCACCCCCCTCCCACCGCAAACTCTCCCACATACGCTGAGAATTAAAGACACATTACTGGGATAAGGAAATCTGACCTGAAAAATGCGTTGCAGCCACAATGGCAAGCCACCAAGAGGCTTCACAATAATTTCCAACGGAGCTGGAGAGGTCTAGATGCCCTGACTTTCAAATGAGCCAACACTGCACACTTCCATCAGATTAAGTCAGTTCTGTTTTGCTAGTAGAATTCCATGCCTGCGCTACCCCCACAGACCCCAAAAGGCAAGGAGATGCCCACAGCACATAGACAAGCAGATGGAGAATTCCCTTTCCTGACCAAGAAAAAAAAACTGAAAGAAAAATTCCATCTTACAGCTGTCTTCCTAAACTCCACATCACTGGGAGTTCCTGCGGACGCGTTTTCTCTAGGGAGACAGTCCTTGCCCGATAACATTGCTGACACATGAATTAAAAATGACAACTGTGTGTTGTTTTTGTGGGAAAACCCATCCTCTTAAAAGCGACAAGAAGACCACTGATCCATGGTCTAAGCTATAGATGAGTCACGGGGAAGAATGGATCATTTGCCCCTGAAACTTGTGTCCTCACACCTGTAGAATGCACACAATGAAGGGACTCCAAGGGGACCCCAAGCCAGTGCACCGTTTCCAACAGTCCTCAGCCCAGAGCAAACACTGAACAATCATGAGCTTTCTCCCCATCTTCTCCATGACCACCAAGACCACCATCTTGAAGAAGATACCTCAATGACAATAAGAGCTTCCCTCAGGGCACTGACTTTGTTCTAGAGTTTTTTCTGACTCATCTTTCGAGAGCAATACATTCATAAGATACAGTTAGACGAGAAGAAAGGAGGGTCATGTGTAAAGATGAAAAGACAATTTAAAATCTTAGGTAAATGGGCCAACGAGACAGCACAGCAGGTAGTAGTACTTTCATTACAAGGCCGATGACTTGAGTTCTGATCCTCAGGGCCCAAGACAGAGGCATAGAATCCACTCTCAGAGCTGTCTCTGACGGCAACACCCGCACTCACCTCCCTCTGCAGCCGCCCTGCTCCCTGGTTCGCAATGCGGAGGTTTAAGACGTGAACCTCCTGGGGAAACCCAGTTGTGCCTCTGCTGGCACAGCCAGACAGAACAGTGAAACTCTCCATCAAGGCCTGGACAGGGTGAGAAGCGTTGATCGGTGACAGCTCACACGGGGTGCTGGGCTCTGGACCTGCGGACAGAATCACAGGCATGAGCTGCTCAGCAAGAGCAGAGACACTGTGGGTGATGGGTTCGCTGCTAACTCAGCTGGGAAGCCCTTGTGACTCAGCAGTTTTCAGAACTCATCATCTGAAATCCCAATCTTTTCCATTTTTTTTCATAATTTTGATTTCTAAATTCTCTTTAGGCTCACAGTCACCAATGTATGTATCCCTTTGGATGAAGGATACCTTCCATTTGCCAAATTTGTGTTTTTAATTCCTCTCTTGGGAGAAAGCCTGAGATTGCTGAAATAAATTATTTAAAGTCCAAATAATACTATACACAAATAATATTAAAGCCCTAAAATTGCATACACACTCCCCGAATAGTCTGATACCTTTTAAGAGTTTTTCTTGTTAGGAATGATACAAAACAAAATGTGTTAAGAAGAGGAATTTGAAGCCAGACCTGCACAGCCAAGTTTGGGGCAGAGGTGAGGAAAACCGTCCCTCACCAGGCAGAGTCTGAGGCAGCGCTACAAATCAGAAAAGCAGAACTCTGGTCATAGTTGGCTCCTGCAGCCTCATTTTCCATTCCTCGAGCCAATGAAACTTTCGATTCTAAACCATCCATCCACTCCTCTCTGTCTCTAATTCCCAACTGCCCCCTAAATTAAGAAGGCTGCACCCTTCAAGCTCCCCAAGCCAGCTCTAGCAAGGGAGTCCTTCTAACCCAGGGAGCCCATCTCTACAGCTGTTCACACGGAGATGCCCGCCCTTCCTATCTCAGACGCCCATCACTCTGAGAACTAAGCAAAGTCTGAGCCCCTTTGCAGGGCGCACAACCAGGTCTGGCTTGATCTAGCCTCCCGTCCTTCCAACCTCACTCCTGTCTTGGTAGGAGATTCTCAACTCCCTGCCTCTACTCCAGTCTGTCTCAGTCACCCTTCAGCTCCAGCCCCGCCCACAAACTGGAGGAGGTACTGTTCCATCCCCCACCTCTTCGCACACCCCCACAATCTATTTGCTCATCTCTTCTGCTTCTTTTACCACAGTGACTACAGGTGAATATGCCTGCTACAGCCAGTCAACAATATACCTGTTCACCTCCCTGAGGGCTACGTTATTCATACCCATCATTAGGCTTTCAGGGCCCCACTGTAGCGCCTGGCCTGGAGACTCATATTCATATATCCATTCATTTCCTCCCTCCCTCCCCCTCCTCTCCCCTCCGCCCCTTGCCTGTTGGCTACAAGGAACTAATGAGAAATGGGTTCCTACAGTGATATGAGCTGCAGTTCCTCTACCTCTCAGCTTCATTCCATGTTGATAAACATCTGGGAGGAGGAAATGAGATACTGAAGGGACCCAGAAATTGTCACCCCCAAAATACACCATCTTGGTATGTTAGCTGTTGAAATGAAAGGAATTCTGAGAACCACGGATGCCTGACTTCCCTCTGGTGCTTTTGTGTGGGTTTAAAGTCTGGACCCCGGAGAAGACCCCAGGACTTCCACCGACTGGGCTCATGACAGGCTGAGAGAACGCAGTGTGTCCACGTCCCATTCAACATTCCAGAGAGATCAATGCAAACCTTTGTCATCCCTGTGTATCTGTCCTGGGCCCCTCTTGTTCTCTAAGCCCGTTGTGTTCTCCTAAAAATCATTTTCAAACCCTCGGATTTCCCAGACCCGCAATCCCCCTCCCTCCAAAGTGGAGCAGATGTTTCTGGATTTTTGATTTATCACATCCCTGTGAATTTTCTTCTTTCGCAATAAATTCCTAGTCTCGCTCTCCTTTTTAATCCGTGTTTGTCAGTGTGTCCAAAAGACGTATCAGAAGGCAGAGGTGCCTAGAATTCTTCACCGGCCCCTCCAATGAGCCTCTGGGACTGTGGCCACAGGGCGCCACCAAGCTTCAACCTTTGCTAAGGGGACCCAGATCAAAATCCTGGGCGCATTCCGCTGAATTCCTCCTGCTTTCTAAGTAACAAACACATTCTTTAGAACTGCAGACTCAGTCTCAAACAAACACCACTTGAAATTCTGGACTAGCCACTGCTGTACCCCAATGCTATGTCATAAACAGGCACCCCACCTACTGGGCCACGTCTATTTCGGGACTCGCAGAAACTATGTAGGTTGATAATAGCAATCTGGTCTGAAATGGAAGCATGTGCCTATTCAAACAATCACTGCCACTCCATTGCTGGACGGTGCCCAGCTGCTTCAGAGAAGGCAGGAGGTGGTGAAGGAAGAGGCTGCCACAGCAATGGTGGGGGGTGAATCTGTGGGGGAGCCTCAGAGAAAGTCTGTTCCCCGATTCTGGGCACGTAGATGATACAATAACCACTGTGCTTGGGAACCAAGTTGGTTTCAGAGCCTCCTGCCATGAATTTACAAAGATTACAAACTAAACACAATAAAAACATGGTCCGTCATTTGACCCAAAACCCATCTACAAAGGGGCCTGCAATCTGCTCAACGTGCCTTTCCTTTGCAAGGCCATCATCACTCCTCAGATTCTCCCAGGAAGAGCCGACTGTTCTTGCTTGGGGTTCAGTTCCAGCCCAAGGTCAAATGGAAGACGCACATAGTCTAGGGAAATCACATAGCAGGACAACCGCCCTTTCTAAGTCCCTCTGTAGTCCTTGTCTAAATATACCCGGTGCTGTGTTCTGGATCTTAAATGCACTCTTAAGGCCCAGGTCCTGGCATGGTGGCTGTCTCTTCCTGGGCTATGGAGTAGGGACCACATTTCCAGGAGATGGGCATAGGACAAGGCAGTCACTGGAGGCCCAGGAAGGGGGGCACAGACTTCCAGGCCCTTCCCCTGATGTGGCGCATCAAACACGAACCTTTCTTCCCCTCAGTCACACCCTAGGCATTCAGTTACAGCGGCAGAAAACCGACTGGCACAGTACGGTGTGTTCTCAATACTCTAGAGCTTTGTGGTTACTCGCTATATGTTCTTCCCCACACGTTTGGAAAACAAAAACAAAAAAGAAGCCCACAGCCTATGACTAGGCATACTCTAAAATCAAACGAAGAGTACAAATAATGTGTGTATATGAGTGATTATCTGCCCACCGCGAACCATAAGAAGCTGGGGAGATGGCTTGGCTGGGAAAGTGCCTGCCGTGAGAGGGAGACTGAACCCGATCCCCAGCACCCGCATAAAAGCCGTGTGTGGTAGAAAGTAACTGTAGCTACCGGGGAGGCAATCCAAGCAGATCTCCAGAGCTCACTGGCCAACCAACCCAGCTAACGAGCTGGGGTCAGTGAGAGACTCTGCCTCAAAACATAAAGTGGAGAGCGACGAAGAAGAGACCTGGCACTGGCCTCCTGCCTCCACACACACATCCGTGTACACACAAAAATAGAGCTAACAAATCTTAAAGATTATATAAAATGTCTTCAGTAGCTCAACTTACTGTCAGACAGATATAGGAAATACAACAATGAAATCATCCCTGTTTAGCCAGCTCCCACTCCGCTGGCAATGCTAGCTGCTGCACAGCACGGGGAGGTGGTACCCTCCCCATCTCAGGTAAAAAGGGATGCCTCCCCACATGTAAGTGTCTGCTCTAAGGTCACCTGAGGCCTCAGAGAAGGATCTGCCTCTGGCTGACAGCAGTCTGAGGAGCAAGACTGGGCTGTGCCCACACAGTCTGAGGGAATAAATCAAACAAACAAACAAACCCATCATAGGCGTGGGTGGTTTGTAACTTACTCTGAAACGCATCCAAAATGAAGATGTCCTGATGGACAGGCACGCATAAATCTGATAAAGCAACTATTACAGAACAACCGTTGTGGAATCTGGATCTGCAGCAAACACAGTTTCAACATCTTTTTATGTTGAAATGCTTCATTTTTTAAAACACTGAGAGGGAGGGGATGCTTATAAAAACTGTAAGGCCGGGACCACCTCCAGAAACCACAGACTGGTGAGAGGGCAAAAGCCATTTCCTCTGACCCAGGAATTCACCATAGAGAAATAGCTGGGTGAGTGTGCAGAGAACAGCATGCACCAAGGGCTAAACCAAAACCCAGAGAGAAGACGGAAAGAAAATAAAGATTTCAAGACTATAGATGTGGTGGTGTCCTTTTTAAAGGGGCCTCCTAAATTCTCACTGTGAAGCCCCAAATCACCCCCAAGGCTTACAAAGCCCGACCAGACCTAGCCTAGCCTCACAGCCCAGCCCCATCCCCCATCACTTGCTCACTATGGTTTAGCCATTCTCCTGACTCAGGCACCTTCCAGCTAGCAGTCTCCCAATACCAACTGTTCTCTCTCGAACTGTTAGGCACAGGGTCATCTCAAATGGAGCTCCTGTCCCATCTCCGTTTGCAGCTCCACATGGTCATGTGACCAGGTTCTGAGAAGTAACCAATGGCTCCATGCATAGCTTCTTCCAAGAAGAGTCCTTACACGATGAAAGGAGACAGAGACAGAGACCCAATTTGGAGCACCGGACAGAAATCTCAAGGTCCAAATCAGGAGCAGAAGGAGAGAGAGTACGAGCATGGAACTCAGGACCGCGAGGGGTGCACCCACACACTGAGACAATGGGGATGTTCTATCGGGAACTCACCAAGGCCAGCTGGCCTGGGTCTGAAAAAACCTGGGATAAAACCAGACTCGCTGAACATAGCGGACAATGAGGACTACTGAAAACTCACGAACAATGGCAGTGGGTTTTTGATCCTACTGCACGTACTGGCTTTGTGGGAGCCTAGGCAGTTTGGATGCTCACCTTACTAGACCTGGATGGAGGTGGGTGGTCCTTGGACTTCCCACTGGGCAGGGAACCCTGATAGCTCTATGGGCTGACAACGGAGGGGAACTTGATTGGGGGAGGGGGAGGGAAATGGGAGGAGGTGGCGGGGAAGAGACAGAAATCTTTAATAAATAAATAAACGGAAAAAAAAAAGAAGAGTCCTTACAAAAGGAAGGAGAGGTGTCCTGGCTTTTCCTTCTTCCTGCTGACTGGAACACAGATGCAATACACAGTGGTGGAGGTCCC